TTGTTCAAGAACAACAAGAAAAAATTGATAAACAATTTGTCCAAAAATTAGAGAAGAAAAATAGAATAATTAAAGAACTAACTCGTTACAATGAAGAACTAACTCGTTACAATGAAGAAATAACTCGTTACAATGAAGAACTAATTGAATACAATGAAGTACTAAATTATCACAATAATTATCAAAGAATGGCTATCAAAGATTTGATGCTTAAACACTAGACACAAGGCTTCATTGGCTGCGGTCGAAGAAGGATTGAATCTGCTTCCATATCCACAATTTTGGTATGAAATTGTGTCACATTTTTTTTCTCAATAATATCTAGTTAATTATTTTTAAAATTGTAAATATTTATTATTATATTTGTTATTATCTAAGTTGTTTTCAGTCAAAGGAGTATTAAATGACTAAGAATAGTATTATTCAATAGTTGAATTGCTAATATAGTCAGCAACTTTCTAGTAAAAGTTATTAGTTTTATATTGTGAAGTTTTTGTTTTTTCTTTTCTTTAATATTGTTATATTATAGAAAAAGTATATTTAGTCTTGTTGTAACTAGTTATTTATTGTAGAAGAGTAGATTTTATTATTAGTTTTTTAGTTTTTCTTTTTTTTCAGTTTTGTTTTTGTATATAAAATTAATGTACAGAGAGAAAGTAATATTAAAGAAGACTATTTATATTAATAAATATAATTTTAATAAGAAGTAATATATATTTAATTTTAATAGAAAGATTGTTTTAAGTAAAATATATTATTAGAAGTATATCTAATTAATAAGTAATAATATTTTAGTAGATGATTAGTTTGAAGTTAAATATAATAGAGAAGTAATAATTCATTATTATTAATTTTTTTTTTGTTATTAGCAGCTTATATTGCTGAAAGAATTTTATTAGAATTGCATATAGGATATATATTGATAGTCTCTACTGTTTGTAATTACATGAAGAGTATATAACAAGCTACATATACAACTTTAGTTATTATCTATTTTAAGTAGTTTGTTGCATAGGTGATAAGACTACCTAATTAGTTCTACACTATGCTGCCATATCTATAACTTGTCTATGAGTTACTTATTTAAATACTTTGTTTATTAAACCATACAGATCTAACCTAATATTATTACAACATCTAACTGCTTAAGCCAGCTAGCTTGTAATAGATTTATTTATTCAGAATAGCTTAGATTTTCTTAGAATATATTTTATTTAACATATTGTAGATATCACAAAGCTAGTTAACCTCAAAGTATACTTACTAGAGTAGTCTATACCTATTTTATAGATTCACTTAGCTTAGACCTTTGTAGATGTTCATATAACTCTAGTTCCTACTGTAGCTCTCTACCAGTTTTTGGTGTTTTATCTTCTTAGATATTTTATGAGGCAGATCCTCCTAATCTAGTTAGCTACTAAGCTAAGTTGGTATTACTAATCTTTTACGTAAAATAAATTTATGCACACCTAACTCGATCTGCATTTTTTGATAATAGTTTCTATTCTGAATCAAATGTTAGCTAATATAACCATTAAAAGCTGTACTACTTTACTAACTTAGAATTTCTACTATACAAGTCCCCTGCTCATAGATTTTATTAAGATTTATTTATATAATATTATATCTTACTGAATAACTTATTATACTTCTAGTATTCAGATGATATTGGTGCAATGTAATTTATAGAGTTACAACTCCAGAAATAAAAAGAATTTATTGTAAGTTGAGTACAAAAATCTGAGTAATTATTCAAATTCATCGATAGTAGGATTTGAATACTAGATCTTTTACATAGTGGTCTAGCAACTTAACTACTACACTAAGATCATCAGACCTTTTATTATTATTAATATAAATATATGTTTTAATATAAGTAGTATTAATTAAAATTTTAAAAGATTGAAAAAAGTTATTATAATAAAAGTACTTAGAATTATAGTTTTAAAAATATAAGTTATTATAGTGAATTAAAAAATTATTATAATATATGTTTATATTTTTCTTAATAAGAGTTGAAGTAGTAATAATTAGAGAAATTTGTGTATCTTCTGTAAAAATACTTACTATATACTTAGTTTTTATAGTTGTATAGAATATTATAGTCTGCTCTATATATTGAGTCTAATTATTATAAACTAAATTTTTCATATAAATAAACTTTTTATCTATCTAATTACTATATTCTTCTCTAAAAATAATCTACAGAAAATAGAAGATATTATTAATTTAGAAGTAGTAATTGTATCTACATAATTACAAAAAACAAAATTAAAAATTTTGAGTAGTAATTTTTGTATATAAAAATTTAGAACTATTAAATATTAATTTAATAGATTTCTCAATTAGATTATTTTTTAGTTATAAATAAGAAGAATCTTTAATAATTTGTATATTAAAGAAAAAAATTGATTAGAAAAATATTTACAAGAATTTATTAGAAAAATTCTAAAAAACTAGAGAAAAATCTATAAGAGAATTTTCAAAAAAAAAAAATAGTAAAAAACTAGAGAAAGATTTATAAAAAAATCTTTTAAAAAAAATACTAAAAGACTAAAAAAAATTTACAAAAAAATTTACTAAAAAATTTATTAAAAAACTAGAAAAATATCTACAAAAAATATATCAAAAAATACTAAAAGACAAGAGAAATATTAACAAGAAATTTATTAGAAAATTACTAAAGAATTAGAAAAAAATCTACAAGATAATTTTTCAAAAAAGATACTAAAATACTAGAGAAATATCTATAAAAAATTTATTTGAAAATAGCTAAAGAACCAAAGAGAAATCTACAAGAAAATTTTTTAAAAAAAATATTAAAGAATTAGAAGAAAATCTATAAAAAATTTTTTTAAAAAAAAATTTTAAAAAAAAATTAAAAGAAAATTTTTTTTTAAAAATACTAAAATACTAAAAAGAAATTTAGAAAAAAATCTTCAAGAAAATTTTCTCAAAAAATACTAAAGAACTAGAGAAAAATCTATAAAAATTTAATTAAAAATTAATAAAAAATCAAAATTAAATTCAAAAATCTTAAAATTAATATATTAAAATTCAAAAATTTTTAAAATATTGATAAAAAAATTTAAATTAATTTAATTAAAAAATTAATTTTTAAAGTTAGTTGAAAATCTTTACTAAAAAAGGTTGTATAACTATGTTTTAATTAAGTAAATACAAAATTACACAACACTGTTTTTAGTAAAAATCTTTATCTAACTTTAAAAATTAATTTTATAATAACTATCTCATTAAATTATTTCAATTTTTTTGTCAATATTATAAAATACTAAATTTAATATTTTAATTTTTTTAAAATAATTTTTATTTTTTATTTATTTTTAATTAAATTTAATAAATTTTAATAAATAAAATTATGCAAATTTTATCAATTTTTAGCTTTTATCTAACTTGTAATTAAAAATTATAAAAGTTTTTATCTGATCTAGATTTATATAGTACTATTTATAGTAAAAGTTTAAAGTCTATTGCTTTTTAATTCAAAAAGTTAAAGGAGGTGGGATACTTATGATTCCTACTGAATAGTAATATATTATTCGTAGTACGAGATAGAAATCAATAACTTTTTCCATGTCATTAAAGAAATATTTATGAACTATTGTAAATGAATAAATTGCGTATATAAATTTATGCTGTATAATCGATATTTTTTAAGTTTTAATATGCTAATAAATTTATACAGTAAACATTTTATACTATAATTATAACTGATTACGAAATTATAAGATATTAACTATTATTATATATATTAACTATTATATATTAACTATTATATATTAACTATTATATATTAACTATTATATATTAACTATTATATATTAACTATTATATATTAACTATTATATAT